CCCCCACCCGCAAAATATTTTTTAACTTAAAGATTTTAAGTTAAAAGGCTTTTGAGCATGGTTCTAAAACATGGATCAAGTTGGCGGGTTGGGCTATGACCCATTGTTTAGTCCATCTTGACCCAACCCGTTTTAGCCGAGTACATTTTGGGCTGGGTTGGGCAATGACCCATTTATTGACTTAACCCATCTTGACCCGCCCAAATTCAGCCTAACCCGCCCATTTGACGCCCCTATAGATAGCCTACCCTAATGCAATATTAGTAGTTGTTTTTACTGCTCGAACTCGTGACTTACGATATAGGTGAGTGTGAGAAATTAATATGGTCACCGACTTGCTTAAACAATTCAATTTAAAAAATAAAATAAATAGCAGATGCATGCCGTTTCAAATAGGAAAATCATTTCTTGCTTCCTAAAACTTGACATTTTAGGTGTATGAGCTTTCTATCTCAACTACTATTTGGTAAAGAAAGCAACTTATTTATTTCTGCATATGATTGATTTCTTGCTTTATTTCTTCTTTCTTTTACTTCAAGCATGACTTCTTTAAGCAAAAACCCTCACCCAATAAAATAAATAAAATTGAGAAAACAACTAACACTTTGTTTTATTCAACCAACACCTTCAATTATATGTTTGTTAGCTCCCTATATAATTTTTTTCCACCAAATAGATAGGAAAAAAAAGGTTTTTTCTTCTCATTTCTCAACTATACTAGTTATATATAATTTCCATGTTACAACATTTTCTTGCCCATTACATCATCATTTCCTTCTATTTTTCATCTTAGTGAAGAAAATCAAGATTCTTCACATTTTAAATCATGGTGTCTATAGAAAGATCAAAGAAAAAAGTGCAACTATGGAAGAAAGCAATTGTTCATTTTCTTCTTTGTTTTGTTATGGGATTTTTCACTGGCTTTGCTCCAACAGGCAAAGGTTCATTGTTTTCCACTAGGAATAGTGCTATTCCTAAAATTACTCAATCAAATCAAACACAACCAAATATGTTGTACCATTCAAGATTAGAAAGTGAGACTTTCAATAAACCTTTATTAGACGAAACAACAACAACAATAGCAACGACAACAATAGCATCAGAATGGTCTAACTTAAACGATACGAGACATTCAGAAAAGGTCTTAGAAGAAGAAGAAGAAGAAGAAGAAGAAGAAGAAGAAGAAGAAGAAGAAGAAGGAGAAGAGCGACATGAACAAGAACAGAATCAGGATCAAGATCAAGATCAAGAACGAGAAGAAGCAAATGGAGAGTTCTTGAATCCGAGAAGGCTACTAATTATTGTCACTCCAACGAGCGCGAAAGATCAAAATAGAGGAATGCTACTAAGGAGATTATCAAACACATTGAGATTAATTCCACAACCAATTTTATGGGTGGTTGTGGAGCAACAAAATGAGGATTCAAATGTATCAGAAATACTTAGGAAAACAGGAATTATGTATAGACACTTGGTTTTTAAGGAGAATTTCACAAATATACATGAAGAAGTGGATCATCAAAGAAATGTGGCTCTTAATCACATTGAACATCACAAGTTAAGTGGGATTGTTCATTTTGCTAGCCTATCAAATGTCTATGATCTCAGTTTCTTTGATCAACTTCGAGCAATTGAGTAAGTATTCTTGATTTCCACTCCTCCACATTTTAAAAAATCATTTCCATTATAAATAATATAAATTATAACGATAGTATATTTTAACATGTTATAGTAGGAAACATATCTTATTTTCAGGGTACAAGTTGTACTTTTTACAAACGGTTATCTATGGTTAATTTTTCAGTGATCTGACAGTGTAGAAGTTTCTTACATCATTTGTGTATATAAATTAAACGTGGATCATTTGGATAATCTCTAAAGTATATAAAATCATTTTTCATTATAAATATTCCAAGATTATTTTTTGTATGTAGGAGTCTATTTGTTGATTTAACTTAGTTTTCTCGAAATAAAATAATAATCATTCAGGTTTTAACATATTATACTAGGTAATGTACCTTAATTTCTAGGTTTTTAGTCGCACTTTTTATAGACGATTATCTATAACCATTAAATTTAAGTGAACTAACAGTATATAAACTTTTTTATGTCGTCAGTGTATATAAGATAAATGCAGATCATTTGGATAATCTCAAGGCATTTAGTAAGTGTTAGTTGTGGAAATTTTGCCCCACAGATTTAAATAACATGAAAAAATAGTACTAGTCTTTGACCAAATCCTAACTTAGTGGGCTCATTTTCTTGGCTCTTATAGGTCTTACTACTTAAACAAGCATCATAATTCATAACAGCTATAGGCAGCTAGCTAATTATCTAATTTGTTAAAATCAAGCCTAACTAATAAAATAAGTTTATCAAATCCAAACTCTTTTATTTCATATTATTTTGGTTAATTTTTTAAACGCTAAGTGTTAACATAGAGATTCTTAAAACAAGTAAGCATCTTATAATATGTCTTTATAGAGGAAGAATCCAAGAAAATCTTTGACAACTTATACAAACACATGGTTCACTTAGTCTGATTACTCTTAATACATTCTTTATTAGAAATTTGGTTTGAGAATAAAATAAGGATAACTCAGTGCACTAAACTACATGCGTCCAGGAAAGGGTCGGACAACATTAAATTTATTATACGTAACTTTATCTTATATTTTTGTTAGTAGTTGTTTGCATAGCTTGAACATGTTGTCTCCGTGTCACATAACAGTTTCGAGAACCCAAAAAGATATTTGATTTAGGGCGTATGGTTCACATAACGGTGCGCTAAATTGCACTGATTCAGTGAAGAGCTGGATCACATTAAATTTGTTATATACAGCCTTACCTTGTATTTTTGTAAGAAGCTATTTTCAGAGCTTGAACCTGTGATTCCCGGATCACATAACGGTTTTTGAGAACCAAAAAAGGTAAATATTTGATTTTAGGGCTTATGGTTTAAATTGTAGGGGATTTGGGACATGGCCAATGGCATTATTATCTGCAAACAAGAAGGAAGTGATAATAGAGGGACCAGTTTGTGATTCATCTGAAGTTATGGGGTGGCATTTGAAGAAAGCAAATAATTCAACAGATGAAAGGCCTCCAATTAGAGTTTCAAGTGTTGCTTTTAACAGTTCAATTCTTTGGGATCCAGAAAGATGGGGTCGCACTTCTTCTATTCAAGACACTTCTCAGGTAAATACTAGTATTTACTACACAAATTTTCCAGTTAATTCACTTTGGGAAAAGTTATTTTTATAATATAAAATATGAAGAATTAAACTAAAATAGCCGTCCACCCATTCACTTAAATCAAAAATAGCCGACAGATATATAATATATGTATAATTCATATATAATGTTCGTATAATCGTGTATAATCAGTATATACCGGCTAGAAAAAATAAATAGAAAATTAATCCGGCTATTTATGTAAAGATTTTACAGTGATGTTAATTCGAAAATATTTTCTTAGGTCTCAAGAAATCCAATTAAAATAAACAAGTAGGATAAAATTGGGTCTCAATTTAGAGTTCCATTTTTCTTTTAAGGAAAATGAATAATACCATCAACAATAATAACTATGTCTCAATACCAAATAAGTTGGGGGCGACTATGTAAATTCTTGCTTCTCCATTTTAAGAAAATGGATATCTTGCACTAAATTTCTCTTCTAAATTGAAATATGAAAAATGACTTTTTTCTACCTAAATTTTCATTTCCTCCATCTATATGCAAGCATTGGTGGAAGCAGAATATTTACCAAAAGAACTTAAAAAATAAAAAAGATGAACACGTGAAGAAGCTAAAGAGGATTCAACATCTAATATATACATATAAAATAAAAATTTAATTTTATATATAAAGTATAATTTTTTCAAAAAGGGTTCGACTAAACTCCCTTCCGGCCTACTAGATTCGCCCCTGTATACAAGTGTCCTGCGTGTGCAGAAGAAAAAAGAAAATTAAAATTAGTAGTTGAAGTGGTTACCTCAACAAGCTTTCATTAATCACCATCATTAGTTGAGAATAGACAGCCAAGTGCTACATAAGCAAACACAGGCAATACACCTAAACATACAATTACTAATATATGACAACTAATTCTACCTAAACTTGTCATAAAAAATAAGTGCTTGCGAAAATAAAAGAACAATTAACTCTACCAAAAAATAAACAATAAGTTCTGAAAATAAAAGTACAACTAAACTTCATGATTTTGTCACTTTCTTTAGGGTGTGTTTGGTACGAAGGTTTTTCAATTTTCGAAGTTTGATCGACTTAAATATTTTGAAAATATTTTTTTCATGATTGAAGGAAAATGACTTCCTTACCAAAAGGAGAAAAAATATGTTTCACAAATATTGTTTTCGGAAATAATAATAATAATAATAATAATAATAATAATAATAATTTACACCACAGACCCTACAATAAACATTATCCAAACAAATAAAAAAACCTTAAATCAAATAAATTATTGAGGACTAAAATTATTCAAGAAAAGAAAATGTTGATTCCTTTTGTGGCTAATTTTTATTTTTTTTATTTGCAGGATTCTCTGAAATTTGTGAGAAAGGAAGTTCTTGAAGACGAAACTAAATTGATGGGAATTCCTCCAAATGATTGCTCCAAAATTTTGCTATGGAATCTCCCACTTTCAACATGAATATAAATCAGAGTTATTTGATAAACACAAGGAAAAATAATAAGAGAAAACAATAATCAATTAGCAATTCAGGATTTTTTTTGCCATAATTTTCGTTTATCTTGTAATATTTATTATTCTATCCTTTTTTTGTCGTCTTTTTTCTTGTCAATTACAATTTTGTTTCAGATATAGAAATACATTCCATTCCTGGCATTTCAATTGAAACTTCTCAAATAATTGTTACTTTTGACACTTATTTTACTATCTAAGTTACATGACTTAACAAAAGCTAACTTTAACAAAAAATGTTCTAGGTGATTAACCACATATTTTAAGTAATATGATAAAAATAATAATTAACCTACTATCACAGATTAAATTCCTAAAAAAATTTATACTGTCAATATATATAACTTGAATTTTCTTGAAAAGATATTAAACACGATAGAACTAGAAACTCTGATATAAGATTTTAGTTCCAAAAGACATTTTGTACTTACCAAAAAAAATGTCTATTTTATTACATCATGTAAAGTGCAGTCATCCCATTTTAAGTCCCACTAGGGTAGAATTAAATATTCCAACTTGTTGCTTAAAAATAAATTAAAGTCAACTATTATTTACTTGTACTTATACTGGTGCTATATGGAACAATTTGTTGGCATGGCAAAGAATAAATAGAAAAGTTTTTATTTACCAAAAAACAAAAGTCTAGTCTCCCCATATGGGAACTTAAATAATCCTCTCATTCAACGATTAGTTTTCACTTAGAGCTTGTTTAGATGGTTGTTCCCGTTGTATCGTATTAAATTGTTATCTTAAAATAATATTTATTTTGATTGTTTCATTAAAATTAGTTGTATTATATTGTTAAATTTATTGTCCTGGAATAATAAAAAGTACTATTTTATTAAACAACCGATTTGGTGTAGTGGAATTGTTTCCTATTTTTCTTTTCAATTATACCCTAACTTATTACTCCACAATTCTATTTTACCCTTTACCTTTTTTGCTATTTTAACTCCATATCTCCAACCTATAACCTACTTTATTTTTTTTTTCCAGAACTTCTGCCGCCAACATTAAAGGTGTTTCGCCGCGTTCTATTTATTTTTTCTCCTAATTTGCTTTTAACTGAATTCTAATTAGTTGTACTCCTTTGTTTTGCCTTCTTCTGTCTCGCTCCTTTCTTCTGCTTTCTTAAGGTGTTTTGCCTTCTTCTGTTTTATTTTTTAAAATTATTTTTATGCATAATTTTTGATAAATTTAATATTTAAATAATTGAGAGTATTTTAGTAAACTTATCAGTTACGGTACAGTATGATACAATTGAACCAAACAGCAAAAAATTATTTAACAATAATAAACAATACAATCTATCCAAACATTGTATTCAAAAAACGATACGATACAATACAATACAATATAATACAATACAACAACAACAACAACAACATACCCAATATTATCCCACATTATGGAGTCTGGGGAGGGTAGTGTGTATGCAGACCTTACTCCTACCTTGTGAGGATAGAGAGACTGTTTCCAATAGATCATCGGCTCAGGAAAACATAAGCACCACATTAATGAAAATATAGACAAGAAGGGACAGTACCAAAAAGATATTTAAAGCCAAATAAAAACTAAAAGATAGTAAGGTGATCAATAATAAAGGAAATAACAGTTAGTCATAAAAACCTACTACCAACAGAAAGCGAGACTGCGTACCAATACTACTATTATGAACACTCTAGACTACCTATTCTACTACCATAATCCTCGACCTTTATACCTTCCTATCAAGGGTCATGTCCTCGGTCAGCTGAAGCTGCGTCATGTCTTGCCTAATCACCTCTCTCCACCTCTTCTTTGGCCTACCTCTACCTCTCCATAGGCCCTCCAATGTCAACCTCTCATACCTCCTCACATGACCAAACCACCTAAGCCGCGCTTCCCGTATCTTGTCCTCAATAAGGGCCACACCCCACCTTGGCACTAATAACCTCATTTCTGATCCTATCTAACCTGGTGTGCCCGCACATCCATCTCAACATCCTCATCTCTGCTACCTTCATCTTCTGGACATGAGCGATATTGACTGACCAACACTCAGCCCCATACAACATCGTTGGTTTGACCACCACTCTGTAGAACTTACCCTTAAGTTTCGGTGGCATCTTTTTGTCACACAAAACACCAAAAGTGAGTCTCCATTTCATCTATCTTGTCCCAATATGATGTGTGACATCTTCATCAATCTCCTCATCCCCTTGAATAATAGGCCCAAGGTACTTAAAAGTTCATCTCCTAGGGATGGCCTACGAGTCCAGCCTCACCTCCCCTTCCCCTCCTTGAGTCTCGCCAATGAACTTATACTCCAAGTATTCTGTCTTGGTCCTGTTCAACTTAAAACCTTTAGATTCCAGGGTCTGCCTCCATACCTCTAATCGCGCATTGACACTGTCTCGTGTCTTGTCAATCAATACAATATCATCTACAAATAACATGCATCATGGAACCTTCCTTTGGATGTGGTGCGTCAGTACGTCCATCGTCAGAGCAAACAAAAAAGGGCTGAGTGCCGACTCCTGATGCAACCCCATCATAACCGGGAAATGGTCCGAGTTTCCACCCACCGTCCTCACTAGGGTCTTTACTCCATCATACATGTCCTTAATCAACCTAACGTAGGCAACAAGTACACTTCTAGCTTCCAAACATCTTCAGAAAACCTACCTTGAAACTTTATCATACGCCTTTTCTAAGTCGATGAACACCATATGCAAGTCCTTCTTTCTCTCCCTATACCGCTCTATCAATCTCCTAACAAGGTGGATGGCTTTTGTTGTCGAACGTCCTAGCATAAACCCAAACTGACTCTCGAAAATAGATACACTCCTCCTCACCCTTAGCTCTACCACTCTCTCCTAGACTTTCATAGTATGGCTAAGCAGCTTGATACCCCGATAGTTATTGCAATTTTAAATATCACCCCTGTTCTTGTATACATGAACCATTATGCTCCCCCTCCATTATTCGGGCATCTTCTTCGTTCTAAAAATGACATTAAAAACCTAGTGAACCACTCCAAGTCTGCCTTGCTCGCACTCTTCTAAAACTCCATCGGGATTTCATCCTGCCCGGGCTTTGCCTTTGCTCATCTTACACATAGCTCCCTCAACTGCATCAACTCTAATCCGCCTACAATACCCAAAGTCACAACGACTCCCGGAGAGTTTTAGATCACCCAGTACAATGCTCATGTCACCCTCCTCTTCAAGAGACTATGGAAGTAGGTCTGTCATCTACGACGGATAAGCCCCTCATATAACAAAACTCTATCTTCTTCGTCCTTGATGCACTTCACTTGGTCCAAGTCATGTGCCTTCCTTTCTCGCGCCTTGGCTAACCTGAACAACCTCTTATCCCCACCTTGGCCCTTGAGTTCCTCATGCAAATGACTAAAAGCTGCAGTCTTGGCAGCTATAACTGCTAGCTTTGCCTCTTTCTTAGCTACCTTATAATTCTCCCTATTCTCCCTCTTCTCCTCTTCGTCTACACTTTCCTCTAGCTTCAAATACGTTGCTTTCTTGGTTTTCACTTTTCCTTGCACCTCTCCATTCCATCACCGGTCTCCCTTGTGACCACTAGAGTAACCCTTTGAGACCCCTAATACCTCTCTCGCGGCTTCCCTAATGCACTGCACAGTTGTGGTCCACATAGCACTTGCGTCCGCACTACTCCTTCAAGCCCCTATCGTCACCAGCTTGACCCCCAACTCCTGCGCTTTAGCTTCCGTCAAGGCTCCCCACTTGATCCTATGTTGGCTATGATCGGAGACAACCCTAAACCACTATAAAGTGGCAAGAGCGGTCAAAGCAGTTTTTACCCGAGATGGTCGGGATCAAATCCACAGGGAGCTAGAAGTGGGAATTGGATTCCTGTCTAAACTAGAGATGCGTAGTGTTCTTAATTACCCTTCCAATCATCTTTTAGTTGGTTGTTAATTCTAATATTTATGCTAATGATAGTGCTAAATTAAACTAAGATTGATTGCTTGTAGGATTTTCTAATTAGTTAAAGAGGCACTAGGGAAGTGACTTTCTCCTAGGTGAATACTTGACGGGATCTAAAGCCTAAGGCAAAGAAGTTATGTTGGGGATTGTGATATAGCCCATGCACGGAATTACTCACTCTATACCTCTCGGTAGCTTGAGTGACCTTGCCCCAATTGACTTTCTCAAGACCAATTGGGTGTCCAAATTATGCAAGCAATATAGGCTCAAGTTGGGTATTACTATTTCTAGGTTTAACCCTTTAATTGAGGCTATCAATCTCTTGATTACACCCAAATTCCTTGTTGGACTAATTTTCCTAGACTCAAGTTCTCTTACTCAAGAAGAACCCAAGTCAAATAGGCACAAATTAGTGTTTACAACCCCTAATTCAACATGGAAAACACAAATCAGTCCAAATATCAACTATCCATAAACATCTAAGCCTTAAATCAAAGACCCATCAAATACCCACACTAGGGTTGAGCCACAACCCTAGCTAATGGGTTTATCTACTCATAATAATGGAAGAAAACAAAGAACTAGATGAAGAACAACCCATAAGATTTAATTACAAGCTAATAATTGAAGATTCAATGATAAATCCACTATAAAATTACTCAAACTAGTCAAAAACCACCGTTCATGTGCTCAGCTGAAAGTTAGATTACAAAAGATGACTTAAAAATGATAAAAGAAAGTATTTATATAAGGCCGAATTTCCTGAACAAAAATACCCTTGCGGGGGTACCGCGGACCGCAAGAAATGGAGTGCGGCCGCAGTGAGGCTTTTTAGCTTCAAACTTAGCTCTCTGAACTTGGCCACCGCGGGCTGCATAAAATGCACCGCGGTCGCAGTGGCTTCAACTGCGGTCCGCACAAAAAGGACGGTGGACCGCATTGGCGATTACCTCCAAAATCCCAACTCTCTAAATCCCATCTTTGCGGACCGCACAAACTTGATTGCGGTCGCGGTGAGGCCACTGCGGTCCACACAAAATGCTTTGTGGCCACAGTGCTTGAGGTTCCAAAATGTGCACCTCTCTGAATCTCCTCACTGCAGACCGCACTATATGGAATGCGGCCGCAGTGGATCTGTT